CGGAGAAAGGTAAAAAATCATCCGAGCAGTCAATTAGGCAATTCTTCAACAATCTTTAATATCAAAAAGTGAAAAGGTTTAACTGTCGTGATAAAAATGAGCTTGTCATAGAAATTTATTATACAAGTGAGCATCGAAATGTTTCTTTAACGAACTGCTATAAAATTTTGAAACCAAATACACTTGTGCTGAAATTTCATATCCTCAGTATCGAGAAGCATAATGTTCCATTATGGTTGCATCAACTATTGTAAAATAGATTAAGTCCTTCGATGTCTTGTAATGCCCTAATTACTCGGCTAATTATTATCTTTCTAAAGGATTGTAGATTTGAGAGTTTCTGTTTCTTTCGTGTTACATGCAATGGACATTCAATCATCACGGCTTGATGTGTTGTGGGGAAATAAATATTGTATCCTATACGTATACAGATCATATTAAATCGAATAAAAGTTTGATGAAATTCAATTCTTATCTTGCCAGAATCATCATTTTTTTAAATACCGTCTTTATAACGAATTCCAAGAAATATGCTGTCTGCCTAAACAACCACCCCCCCCCCCCCCTATTTCAAATTTGACGTCTGAGCCCCGGCCACTCCCTATTTTCAAATCCTTGATCTGCCGTTTGGGGGGGGGGGCAAGAAATAGGCAAAGAAAGTTGAGTAGACTTTGAGATTACGCACAGAATAAATGTAACGAAAACAATATTTACAACATTCTATTCTTGCTTTAATACCTCAAAAATATTTAACGGTCAAACCAACAAAATGTATGTTTTCCCGGCCTTTCCTTATAGGCCTAGGCCTACACCATTTTTCTAAACGCGTTCGAGTTTATTTCGTCTATGCAAATAAATTTGGTGGCGGAGTAACGCCTTTAACAGCGGCTATATTTGTCGACCTTACCCGACTTTCAAATGGAGAATCTCACTTTTCGGTGAACGGGGACCGAAATACCCCACTTGCGTGTCTGGTATTACAGACCGCTTTCTTTCCCGATATCTTCGCGTACACCAAGCTTCGTGAGAATGAGCAATCTCAGAATCTGGATGAATGTTGTCCTTGTAGTGTGAGGTTCATGAGTAATTATTGTTATAAACTACGACATATAGTATGGATGATAATGTTTGTCAAGTTTATTGCGGACTATGTCATCCTCATAAAAGTATTAGATCAAGTAAAAAGGCTTCAATTAAAATAGTTAAACATGACCAGAAATCATTTCGATGTTAAAATATTTTTGACAATTTTAGACAATATCATATTTAATTGTGTCCATGTACTATATCGAACTAGACAATTATGATGAAACTTGAAAGGAACATAATTATAACCAGGAAGTTCCTGATATAACTATGCTTATAAAGTGAAGCAAGGAAGATAAAAATTGGCATCTCCCATGTATACCGGTAGCTATGAGAATGGACATAATCCGAACCTATATGAGACTGCGTATAAGACTAGAACATCATGGAGGAGTTCCAAGCAGTACTTATCAAGGTTGGGCTGGCGATGTCCTGGCAAAGTTTGTTTATGCTGCAGATTAGGGACTCTTGCTCTGTGGTGAGCTTACCACCAAAATACACCCCACTTTCGGGTCCAAAGTGGGGTGAAGTTTAAATGGACTGTTTTCGTCATGATTTCAGCACACGTGAATGTACGAGATAACCAAAGAGACGCTGAATAAAAATCAGCGTATAGCCTCATTATCGCGCACGCTGCGGTCTGACTGGATAGGACTTTTTTAATGCTCTCATCTTAACCAATATAGTGAAAGCGTGATTTGTCTTCATGATCCACATTCAACAGCGCATAATGATGACGCGCGTAATAAGTGCTCAAATAACTAATTACGCCCAAGATTAGTATGCGCTAGGCGCATCTTCAGATATGGCATAAAGTATTCCTATTGGTTGATCTACTTATCATGCTTATATAAAATAGATTTTTATTGGTAGGGTCCATAAAAATGGGCGTGTCAACAGTGGTGAAAGATAAGATAGAGGCGGTCCTTCAAGAGATAACACAGGGATAAAACAATGTTCAGAATACCAACTTACAACAATATTAGCGCTGTGTTATCTCTGGAAGATACAACAAAAGATAACACAATACTTACAACAATGTTCAGAATACCGCCCCTGGATTTCTTAGGGGGGGGGGGGGATGGGGGTGAGATCACCTTATATTAGGTCAGCCATTGGCATAATTTTTTTTTTAATAAAAAAAAAAAAAAAAAAAAAAAAAAAAAATCACAAAAAGGGGGGGGGGGGGGGGTGTCGCTCCAAAATACACACATAAAAAAAAACGAAGGGGGGAGGGTAGTTTTCCCCCTCTCGCGCGAAGCGCGGAAGCTTTTACGTTTCATTAAATCATTAGAGAAAGAAGGCGACTCGTTGTACCGTTTTCGACTCTTAATCCTTGTCTGAATTTCAAAAATGTTTTTTGTCTGCTCCTTTTTCTTCATACGTCCTTTTCCTTTTCTCTCCTCTCTTTTTTTGGCCGGCATTTTTTTTTTTGGGGGGGGGGAGGGGGGGGGGGGGGTTGGACCGCCCCCACTGCCCCCCCCCCCCCCCCCTGGGTACGTGCCTGCGGTCAGATGAACATATTTTGATACCTTGTCCGCCCCCGGTTGAAGGCAAATTACGGTCAGATAAGCATTCAGGGGCCCGCCTCAGGGCACCTGGTGTGGTCGAGGGTGCGGAAACCCCTGAATCTCAGGGGTTTCAGGCAATTGATTACGGTCTGATGAACATATTTTTATACCTTATTTGTGACACTGGCAGGACACTTATTGGCGTGAGGTCCAGCGGGCGGAGCCCCCAGAAGCTCAGGGGTTTTAGGCATTACATTACCGTTAGATTAGCATCCAGTGGGGTTCAGGGGGCGGACCCCCCAGAAGCTTAGGGGTTTTAGGCGTTTAATAACGGTCAGATGAGTAATTTTTGATACCTTATTTTGTTGTGACACTGGAAGTTAACTATTCTTTCTTTCTTGCTCTCTTTCTTTCTATTTTTCTTTAAAATGCTTTTCCAAAAAAAATTGGGGGGGGGGGGGGGGGAGCTGGAGGCTCCGATCCCCGCCGTTCCGCGGGCCCTGACATGTAGGCATCTCAAGTAGCATATTTCTTGCCTGGCTGTTAATTTACAAACGCATACAAAAAATAATATTTCCTTCCTTCTCTCTTTTTTTTTTTATTAGAGGAGGGGGGGGGGGGGGGGAGGCGACAGCCTGGGAGGCGAGGCTCTTTCGTCCCCCGATCACTTCTTCCCCTTTTCTTTTCTTCTTCCTCTTCTTTCTTTCCCTTTCTCTACTCTTTCCCTTCTTTTCCTTCTCTCTCTCTCTCTCTTTTCCCCCTTCTTTTTTCCCCCTTCTTTTTTCCCCTCTTTTTTTTCCTCCTTTTTTTCCCCTTCTTTCCCCCCCTTTTTTCCCCTTCTTTTTTCCCCAGGGGGGGGGGGGGATGGGGTGCCGGGCGGGTAAGCATTGTATGGTAATGGAGTCAAGTAACATCTTCTTATCTGTGTTGCGAGTTATTCGTTTTGAAACATCGTCGTTATGTGTAATATTTGGTAGAATAATGATGATGGTGGTGATGATGATGAGGATGATGATAATAACGACGATCATTCACATGCATCCTTTATAATGGCGCCTTATTTCTGTTAAAAACATTTCCGAGGCGCAGGCTGCTCCCATGAAATCAATAGTTTGACATTTTTTTAATTTGAAATAACGTTATAAAAATGCCAAACTCACGAGGAGAGGAAGGAATCGAGTTCCCCAAATGCAAGAGAAATGGATAAAAATTAGGCACATCCGTCTCTGTATTATTCGATTGGCATTTTTGGTCAAGAAGGAATCCAAACTGTGCCCATCTGTGACTTTAATTTAACAACTCTGTTTGGCCTGGAATGGCTCAATCTTGCAATTAGACGTTTTTAATCCCCGGGATGCTACTATATATATATTTTACCAGTTTATTACCTCAATCGGCCCCAGCCCCCCCCCCCATACCCTATAGAGGAAGAATAGGGTATACACAATTAGAGATAGAGAGAGGGATTCATTATGTTGCGAGAAATGAGGAAATTAGAAGTAAGATAAACGAAGAGACTGAATGAGAGAGAGAGAGAGAGAGAGAGAGAAAGTATAGGAGAGAGCTAGAGAATAGGCGGATGCGGATTAAAATATAAATGAATTGTAAAACCATCATTTGCTAGCTCCTATTAGTGGGCAGCAATCGAAGTGCCCCGGCCGATATAACTCTCGGAGTTTTGCTATAGCTGTCCCGCTTCAACTTCGCTTGCAAAGTTTAGAAACGAGACTGTGTCGTTCGGGTAGCCGAGGTACCCGAATATTTGATTTAAAAAAACATTTTATGATGATACGAAATTGTCTGGATTTTTTATGGGCGCCTCGCGCTCGCTCATGAATATCTAGACACACAATTCTTCAGCGCCCCCCCCCAGTGGCGTACCCAGGGGAATAAACATTTCTCACGAATTGGGCCCCCTCCTCTGCCGCCGGCTGGATCCGCCCCTGCCCCCTCCCCCACCACCGCTAGCTGAAGAATTATGTCTCCTGATCGAAGTCGATCTGGGCATACTGAGTCGGGCTCTAATTCCTTAAAAAACCACAAGAGCTGGAAACCGTAATTTACCTACATCTGTTTAGGCATTTGTATTGTGGATGTAGCCGTAGGCCAGTGGCGGGTCCAGGAGGGGGGGGGGGACCCAGCCCCCTCCCCTTAGAATAAAAACAGGTACAAACACGTTAATTTTACTTTTGTTTTATTTGTTTTATAGATGGACCTCCTCCCCTGACGGGGGGGGGGGGGGGGGGGGGTGCGATTGTTCAAATTTTCGAGAGTCCCCCCCCCCCTCCCCCTCCGCTTATTCACCGGCTGGCTGTTCACTCACGAATTGGGCCACCTCTTTGGCCCCCTCTCCTGCCGGAGGCTATATGAAGCTATGAACACTCACTTTACTCAAGCAAGCTAGGGCAATTAAGATGCGGGACTCCAGTAAAAGCATAGAAGTTTACGCCTAGCCTGGGAGAAGACTAATAACAGATTATCAGCAAGAGAATTTATCATAAAACGTCATGAATCTTACATGAATCTATCAAAATACGGTAGAGTCATAGTCATGGCTTCTGAAACTTTTCAAATTCCACGAATATCAGCACCATCTGATCATAACTTCAGAGCAAACCATTTACGAAAAGGTTAGTTATTAATATTATTAAAGTTCATTTAGCGTGTATTTCTTGTCATGCTAGTCCCAATCACGCATATTCGTGTTGAGTCTGATCCAATGTTTTGCTGTATTGTACGCGTACGCCTAGCGTCTTTTTTTAAACGTAACCTAGCCATCCTACGCCGCATATCAATATTTGAATAAATGAATATTTGCCTTGGTACGGTGTGGTGGAGATCAAAATTAAATCGGACAGATTCTGGTACTGGTCTAGACTAGATCTAGATTATGTCACGATGACTATATTATGGACAAGTACATGTACGACGTAGAGTAAAGGAGCCGGTATTCGGACAGCTCCAGTTTTCGGCCGATCCATTGGATGCATGGTAAAATCCCTTTAAAATACATCACATAATAGCATATCACATATCCCACACATACCATACCATGCCAGAGTCACTGAAGAACCACATTTGCAATGGAAAATATATCCTAAAATATCACATTTTAGCGATGTAATTGGCGGTCCCGCTACCCAAATCTGAAAAATTGAGTTTCTTACGCGTGTATGTAAGAAATATAGGTACCATAAAATGAGCTTTATTTCAAGTATTTTTCAGATTTAGAGCCCCATTTTGTGTTGATCGCAAGCTCAAAAGTATCTCATCGCATGTATTAAATCAATGCAGCCGGACCCCGCCACGCACACACAATATGTCTGTCTAATTCAGATTCCAACTTCCAATCACCGATCTCCGGCGTGGGATACCTGCTCCGCCCGCTTGTGCTATACATCAGCGCGGAAACGCACGGCGCGCGCGAGCGCTTCTTATTGACTTTGTACATGCGTCCGAAAACTGGTTCGCTATGGCGATAACCGGCTCCAAAATAGTGAAAATTGAAACGAATGTTGTCATGGCAATTCGTGATTTTTTTCTGGGATTCTTTTTTGTTTAAATAATAATAATATTTACTTCATGATTTGAACAAGAAATGATAATAAATAGGAAGTAAAGAGTTCAAAAAATAGGATTTTGTCTTAAGTGGCCGAAAACCGGGTCCTTTACTCTATGATCTGGGTTAGTCATTCGTGTAAGCTTTACGGTAAGCCTAGCCTCCCAATTTTCTCGCATTGTCATTTGTTTTAAGTAAACTTAGCTTTGCACTTGTAATTTTTGTATGAAATCTCATATTTGATAAATTATCGGATCAGATTCTGTGTGTGTGCGTATCATGAATATTGATGACAAGCGCATGATGTACATGTATATTGAGCCAATCAAATGCAGCGGTAGGATGGCTAGGTTAGGATTTTAAAAAATGTGGCTGGGCTGCGCATATTTTTTTTACACAACTGTTTTGCCAGGTCAGTCAAAAATACTGTACGAACGAGAGGAGACGTAGTCTAACAAGTAACGTTAATCTTTGTGGTATTTTTGGATTGCTGGGTGCCTTTACCTTGAAACCAACGACAAGACAATCATAACTTTATCCGCCAACTACGGAGATGTCTTTCTAAACCGTTTCACGAAGAGCTTACTAGCTAGACGTCTCGTGAAATCGATACTATTAGTGAGATGAGGAGCAATGACATAGCCTTTGTCACAATTCCACCGGATTAAAAATAAAGTAATTTTAGGAAAACTGCTATTATTTAAATGAATTCAGATTTAAAAATATTAAAAATGGTACCAGAAAATAACAGATATTATACTTCAAAATTTGAGTAAATTATACCATAGAATTACTTGTAAAATGTAATTATGAGTATTTCATTTCATGACCGGTGAATCAGTTTTGTTTTGAGATGGGTCCCCCCTGATATTTTCATTTGATAGTTTATAAAAATTCACCCGTTTATTATTATTAGTAAAAATACAAAGTTATGAAAGTTTTGTACAATGTTTTAGGCGTCAGTACAATATTCAAATGACAAAACTACAACATTCCAGACGTTAAAAACATATGTTTTAAACTATTCATTTTACACATTTGAAGATAGAATTTATCTCGAAAGCTATATGGGGTCTGAAAACTAAAGAATACACTTCAAACTATGGCTTGCCTGCCGTGGCAGATTATACCCATCCCTCCGAGAATTTTACGATACGGAAATAAACGCGTATAATCAGTTTGTAAAAGTGGGAAAAGCTTCAGATATAAACATGGCATATTTTCAAAAGATTTTCTAATATAAAGAAATGATAACTTTCTGTTTTTAATAGTGAATGTGTAGAAAGATCATAGCTGGAGGATTTCTTGTCCTTTTTTGCTAGCCATAGCAAAATAAATCTAGTCTACCCAATAAATGACATGTGATGGCGCTGCCCATCGACTAAAAATTTATGACAGAGATATGATGGGGTCGGAGGCGTCATAGCTACTTAATCAGGATGTTGTCGTTGATCTTGGCAAAGAGGGCTTAGTGAAACATGTGCGGACAAGTAGCTCACTAACGTTGATTTAGTCAAGAAGTAAGACTTATGACGGTTTCGAGGAATGGGCCCCTGGAGCGGTACATACTCGCGTTATATATTGCTTTGTTTTTCCCCATCCTCTTCTTTCATTATGTATTTCTTTGTTTTTCCCTTTGTTTCTCCTTCAATGATCTATCTTTTCTCTTTTGTTATGTATTTCTTTGTTTTTCCTTAAATCTATCCACTTCTCTTTCGTTATGTATTTCTTTGTTTTTCTTTCAATCTATCTTCTTCTTTTTCGTCTTGAATTTATTTGTTTTTCTTTCAATCTATCTTTTCTTTCATTTTTTCTTCTTCTTCTTCAATCTATCCTCTTCTCTTTCGTTATGTTTTTTTTTTCACCTTTAATCCATCTTCTCTTTCGTCATATATTTCTTGTTTTTCCTTAAAACTTTCCTTTCCTCCTTCGTTATGGACTTTTTTTCCTCCTTTGATCTATCCTCTTCTCTTTCCTAATTTTTGTCCTTGTTTTTCCTTCTTCATATGCTCTCCAATCTCTGTATGTATTTCTGAATTGCCGATTACTGTATTCTGCAGGGTTTTCAGTAATTTTGTCATTGATGTGGTTTGTCAGCTTCATCAGCTACTGTGATCTTTGAATATCTTAGACTTGTAATGACATTATTGCTGTTTATAATATAAGCCATAACTTCTTATTCATGAATCTCCACTGCCTGCTCTCTCTCTCTGTCTTTCTTACCTCTTCCACGATATTTCACTCTTGATTTCCACCACTTAAAGGTAAAGACCAGTTATGGTCATGCGATTGCATTGTGAAAGAAACGTTGTAGAATCGATCAGAAAAGGTTGATCATCTAGCATCTAGCATCTGCAAGGTTCTAGAATCATCAAAATGATAAGAAATTTGGCCCATTCTTCGTAAAGTTACAAGCACTATACACAGAAATATGTATATGGGACTACCCTATATCTCTCACAGACCATGCGAGAAACAAATTTACCAAATATATGAATTAGTAGGCGGTTTCCCAGTAAATTTTTTATCATCATGTATTAGTCAAAACATATTCTTTCACATGATTGGTAATGAGAGCTTCCATTTCATTTATTGAAATTGGGGCGTTTCCAATACTGGTCTTTACCTTTAACTTTGTGCATTACATCTACTCTGCAGGTGTCCCTGTAGTTATAACAGATGTAGCAGACAAATGGCCTGCAGCAGAGTGGACGCTGGATGAACTGACCAGAAAGGCAGGACACAACAAGGCATTTATTAGGCAACAAACTGACAAGGAATCATATAAGGTATGTACTAGTAAAGGATTCATGTGGGGGGAGGGGCCATGAACAAACCAATTGGCATACATTACTACACACCAATTGTGGCATCACATTGTACTACATCAAGACATTTATTAGGCAACAAACTGACAAACAATTGTGTAACTTTTAAGGTTTATAGCAGTAGAGGATTTAATGGAGGGGGGGGGGGGGGGGGTGCACTGTTCTGGCCAAAACCAAGCATGGCTTGTATTATTGCCTACTGATTGGCATACTAAAATCTGACAAAGAAACAATCAGGTATATCGTAAGTGATTACAGACTTGTACCGGTAGTCAAACTTATGAAATAATATTCTGTTCTAATATATACATTGTGTACATTTTATGATAGGTTGGTAAATCCTACAGCATAAGAGAAAGCCCCCTGAAGGAATACATCGATGACATCAGAGCTGACAACAGCAGAGCAAGGAGTTCTTACCTGGCAGTACAGAATATTCGCAGTACATTTCCAGAGTTAGAGGTAACTTTAAAGTGGACCAATCTCCTAAACTGAAAATGTTCTATGAACTTTTGTATATTCTGGGTTTCAGGCTGGTATCTATCATTACTTGAATTGAAAATATGAGCTTCAAATAATTCTTATGTCAAGATCAGGCCTGATAATAACCAAATTTTAATTGGTTTCCCAAATTTTTTTTCCCTTCCAGATTTTATCACTATTTCATGATTTCCCCTTATTTTCTCTATTTTTCCATATTTTCCCCCAATTTTCTTACTCAGAAGGGGGAATGTTGTTAGATGCCATTCCCCCCCCCCCCCCCCGGATTTTTTGTATATTTTTAGTGCTCACTAGCACCCCTGGTCAAGAGCGATAATTTCTTAAGTTTTGTTTGTTTTTCTGCTCTTAATTTCTCTTCTTTGCTTATTTTTTACCAGGCTGATATTAATGTACCAGGATATGTTGAAAAGCTACATGGAGGACCTTATCTCTGGATCGCAATGAAAGGGCATTATGGTAAACGTACTTTCCTACTGCTTTTTTGTTGTTGATATTCCAGTCAATGAAAAAATCATGCTTTCAATCAATTCAGCAGTCCTTCAATCAACAAACTAACTGACAATCAACCAAACTATCAATCGATTGATTGATAAACTTGTAAATAATAATAATAATAATAGCTACCGGTAGTTCTTATAAAGCGCTTTTCAGGAGTGAAGGCCTTCTCAAAGCGCTTTATACAGATGTATATTATTACCCCGATCACCGGATTCAGGCTTACCCGCACACAATGTATGCACATTCTCCACTCCATGGGGAGCATTCCAGCCAGGCATCATTTTTACAAGCGCACACTTGCTAATCTAACCAAATTAGCTTTGGCATCCTACCGGGTACCCATTTAACACCTACCGTATTCTATTGATAGTTATCTGCTTTTCAATAAACCATAAGCAACCAACATTTTACATTCGCACAAGATGCATAAAATTGATAATTTTGGAACCAACAACTGACCAATATGAAGGTTATTTATGCAGAAATAATGCTACTGTGACTATGTTAATGCAAGATCACAACTATTCTCAATATTGCCATTTGCCATTTACTGAATATCAAGATGTAATTAATGTGAGCACATTGGTTTATTTTGTTTATAAAGCTGAATAAAATATGACTTACTGCATGTATGATGAATTACCCCCAAATTCCTCACAGAATTCTGCCACTTCGATCCAGACGATGGTCTCCTAGTCATCTTATCTGGTTCTAAGAGGGTCAAACTATATGGTTGTGACATTCAACCTTTGTACCCTAATCCTCTGGGGTCAAGAGGTCGCACCATCCAAGCACAGGTCAACTGTGATGCACCTGATCTAGAAACCTTCCCAAAGTTTAAAGGGGCGCAGTGTCACGAGTGTGTACTGAATGCTGGGGAAATGTAAGTACATGTATTTTCAATTTTAATTTTCAATAATGGTTAATTTTATTTAAAAGGCAATCAAAACATGTTTGTACAAATCATTTTCCATGAAAAGCATCCAAAGCTGGAACATGTATGTTGCCTTGCAATGTTGGCATAATCCATAACATTCACAAAAGATATTAATATGTTAAAAACAATCAGACATTTTACTTAAAAGTTTAATGAAAATGGCTTTGCCAAGTTATTTGGTTAGAATAGATACTTATTGTATGGAAATGCACTTGTTTTTAATTGTTTTACTTGTTTTTAATTGTTTTACTTGTTTTGTTACAAAACCTTAACATCTAAACAATGTGTGTCTTAAAATGATGTGGATCTTAAAATTGTTCTTAAAATGCTTTTCAACATTTTAAACTTTTGAGGTCATTAGAAACATTTCAGATTAAAAGGAAACTTGTATTATGTCATGTGGGGGAAGTTAATAGTGAACCCTTGTGTATTACATAAGCAAGAGTAAGTAATATATTTGTGAGTATGCTTCAAGGCATGCAGTCCTTTTTCAATATTGAAATCAAGTTGTCTTCTAAAACAATTTCAGTCCTTGCTACATATTGACTCTCAAGGTACTCCCATTACTTTTTCAAATAGATCTACCTGCCCAACAGCAAGTAGGCAAGTGCTAAAACTAAAACATTAGCTGCAAATTAAACTTCTCAAGCCTCAATGTATCCATAAATAGAAATATTTTTGTGTTTCCTTAGGTTATTCATCCCTGCTTTCTGGTGGCATCAGGTAACAGCTTTAGAGATGACTATCTCAATCAATTTCTTCTACGGAGATGCTGGAGATAATACGTACCTTACTAAGATCATGGTGAGATATTTTATTTTGATGTCTTTTATATTCATAAAAGTGTTCAAATTCTCAGGCTAGCCCAGGTTTTAAGAAAATCTTGCAAGTTGCATAAAGTTAGTTCACTGTTTTGAAATAAAATAAAATAAAAATTCTCCATTAACTCTTAAGCTACCACCCATACAATGCACCCAGTGCCACAGTGCTAATCCCTATTGTGCCAGCCACAAATCCCCCTGTGTGCCAAGTTAATTTTAGTGTTGGTTCAAGTGCGTGTTTTTTAAATCTTTACTATGTTTGATCCACGCTAACTTCTCATTCGTATGTTGTATAAACAAACATTGTACATGAAAGTTGTAGGAAATTTCACCCTCTTTCCATTTATACCAATATCATTTCATGAATTTGTAATTTTGCTGAGGTAAATAAGCATCTCTCGCACCAGATCCGGGTCAATGAAGCATACCCGTTTCTTGCGATGGGGAGGCATAATGATGATATATGATATCAAAAACAAATCGCTAAATTACTCGAGAAAATCCAATCTGACTGTTGTAGACGTAATCGAAAGCCGATAATCTGATGCACGCGATGGTACTTTCAATAGCGCTGCAAAGGCACTCAGCACGGTGCAATGGGCATGAACAATACTTGTTATTACATGTGCGTGCTAGCGTGCACAAAGCAGACAAGCGGTAGCTCGCTAGCATGAACGTAGCAATCAGCGCTCAAAATACACAGGGGCGATGGGCAATTCGCCCCCGTGAGGTACATAATCTCCCCCGGGGGCGATTGCAAAATTAAAAATCGCCCCCGTGGAATTATAAAATAAAGATTATTTTTTCTGTTATAACTTTAACACAATATTGAGTTTCAATTTTCAAACCTTAAACCAATGAAATGGAACTTAGATTAGCGTGCAAGATTTCTCGTTCTATGAGTATTATTACCAATTCAGCTCGCAGTGCAGTGCCGCCGTCAGCAGTGGTTATAGGCCTACTGCGCCGTTAGTAACGGTACGTGTTCACGCTCCCGCTCCATATCTGCTGGGGCTGGAGGCGATCGCGCAAGGGCAGAAACATGGTCATGGATAAATTTTTCGTCGTGAAAAGCGTAAACCCGCTGAAATCTGGTGATTTCAAATGACCAGCAAATAGTGAACCTCGACCAGTACATCAATATTAGGGACTCTTAGATTTGCACAACGAGAACGTGGACTGCAACGTGTGACCTCCTTTTAAGGTTTAACATTTTTGCGCCGACTCAGGCGGCCGGTGAATATGAAAGCGGGGGGATGCTGGAGAGGAGGACCACTAATTTTTTTCTTTTTTAAACTCTCACTTTCACCTGTCCCAGGTAACCCTAAGTTTTGTGTTGCTGCTTTGTAGATGATAATGCATGATTACAATAGATAGAGAGAGAGAGAGAGAGAGAGAACCACCATCATTATGCAATGGTTCAGGGTTTGTTTTATGTACATTTGAAACCATTTCTTACCGTCTCAACCCTAAAAAAATAGCGAAACTATTTTTGAGAAAAAGCATTATACTGAACTGAATAAAGAATAATAACTTTATAATGGCTCATACTAATACTGATATGGGCTAAAGACAATGTGGTATCAGCACAGTAAGATCGGGTATTTGTATAGAGGTATTCCAAAATGACATTCTGATTTTGTTCTGTTATCATATGTATATACGCATAATACAACTGATCTTTGTGAATTCTTAACGTGACATAGCTTCTAATCTTCTCCCCCTGCAAACAAAAAATAAAACAAGGTTATTTAATAAAAGGATCATGGGACAAAATGATCATTGTGATTCAAATTGATGCAAGGATTTTTTTGAATAAGCAATGCTTTTCACCAGAATCTTCTTTGTAAAAACAACTTTTAAGAATCTCAGCCATGCAATTCTGCCACTGTGTTGTAAGATCACTTTCACATTAGGAGAAGTGTATTCTTTAATGAGTATTTTAAATTGAATGGAACGTCTCAACTCAGTAGGCATGGCTGAGATTTGTAAAAGTTGTTTTTACAAGGAAGATTCTGGTGAATAGCAGTGCTTATTCAAACAAATATTCGCATCAATTTGAATCACAATCATTATTTGTCGCTTAATCCCTTTTAATGACCTTGTTTTCTTTCTCGTTTGCAAGGGGAGAAGAAGATAGTGTGATACGGTTTGTCACTGAAACAGCTCCCGTAGGACTTTTGTGCCAATTTTGTTTTTTTGTTTTTTTGTTTTTTGGTGTGGATTCATTGGGGTCCAAGCTATCAGAAACTGATGGAGTTATATATAAGCCATTTTGGCGCCAATATGGACCCCCCAGGAAATGAAGGAGGGGTCTGAAAATTTGAAACCCATCATTTTTGGCCAATTGGGACCCTTTTGAAGCCAAAACAGCAAACAATAATCTATTTTGGCACAAAATCATACGGGATTACATACCATACCGCACTACATCATAAAGATCAGTGTTGATTGCATATATATTATATACACAGGCCCCGCGGAACGTTTATCAAAGTAGGGGGGGGATTAAAGTATTTACGATCAGGTAGAGGGTAGCGAGCGTAAATTGGTGTGGGGGGTTCAGGGGGTGGAGCCCCCGGAAGCTTAGGGGTTTTAGGCATTTAATTACGGTCAGAGAAGCACACATGTTTTGATGCCGCATTTATGTCACTGGCAGGTCGGGGGGGGGGGGGGGGTGGGCTTTTTTTTTTTTTTAAATTTGTTTTTATGTTAAGGTTAAATTTACGTTATTATCCTATTTTTACCGGTTTGGGAGGCTAGGGGGGCCGGGCCGTTAGAATCGGCCCGTGGATCCGCGCCTGTAAAAAAGAGCACCAAAAACAGAATCGCCTCGCCGCTCCGAATAATGAGGAAATAATGTGCAGAACGGGAAGAAATTGAGAGAATGTCATCACGGGATGAAAGTCAGTAACAGCTATGTAGCTTGTAAATTTGTAAGAGGGAAAATGCTGATTAAAATGATAATGATGAAATAGCAAATAATTGAGGATTATCATAGGTACCAATTCAATGGAAATTTGTATAAAAAAGAGCCCCCGTGAGCCTTCTCATGAGGAAGAGCCCCGTGGACAAAAAATTAATTTGAGCCCTGGTAGCAATCAATCGATAGCGCGCTCGCGTGCACACGGCACTATAACAATAGCGCGCTAGCAGTCTCATGGCAAGATATGAGTTAATAAAAAAGAAAATTCATAAACCAAAGTTGTGTCATGACATTAATTTCTCATTTTCATTTTATTTCATGACTTGACTCAAACTGTTTATTCATTTTGAGAATTTAAGAGCTTAGAACGTGAGATGTTTTAGATTTTAATTAAACTGAAACTGAAACCTGAAACGTGCAAGGTTCTAAGATTGAATTATAATATTACATATGATTCAATAAGGTTCACTCTGTCAACCCAAGTGGGTCCTGTGTAAAGTCTATGGGAATCTCTCAAGTCATTTATTTTCTTCTTAAAGGTAATACAAACTTTTAGGAAATTTTGAAAATTGGTTGGATAGTGATTCTTTACAAATTTGATATATTTGGAAGCCTCTGTGGATGTATTATAAGCACTAGAAAATTTAGCCCCTAAAACACTTCTGCTTTCGATTAAAATTGAATATAAAAATTTACCGGTGCTCCCAGTAAATTTTGATAAATTTCAAATAGCGCTTACATGATACAGTTGTAGCTGGGACCATGAAAATCTCAGAATATGTAGTTGTGATATTTAATTTCCAAACGGAAATAGCCAATCGGTCGATTTTATTCAAGAAACATTGTTTATGGCTTAACTAATATCTTGACCTTGAGAGGGAGCTATACAACATAAAGAGTTTATTATTTACAATTCCACAACTTAAGATTCAATTTCAACCGCGACAACGATCACTGAATATTGTAGGATCGCATATGCTTCCAATATGTTCATTTGACTCAAATTCATGACCCCATACCAAAACTGTGTATTACCTTTAAGTCAACAAAATTTTGATCTGATTTCAGATGAAAAGGACTTCTATTCCTTTTTTAGCATTGGAACAACCAAAATTTAACCAAAACAGTGACAATATGTCGAAACTGAGATGATTGAAGCATTTTTTGACTGCGTGTTTTGTTGATTTATGACATCAGGAACCCATGAGATGGCAAGCCTACTCCCACTGGTTTCTCAACATCGTGGAGCAGAACCGACCATTTGAGTCCTTCCAGCGTGTCCTTGAGAACCTCCCAGACAGCCTCAGGAGCTTCTTCCTCAAGACATGGCATGAGAAACCATCACAGGACCAGCTGGACAGACTAGTCAAACTGGTCCTGGATCACCTTCAGTTGGACTCCCTTCCCGTAGGTCCAGCCAGGACTAGTAAACATCCGCCAGTCATGAAAATCAGGGGTCTACTCTGGCGGAAATGAGTCGGGTTAAATGAAAGTGTCTAAAAATTGAATGGAGACCCATAGGATGTCGTTAAAGGAGTCTTTCAGAAACTGCAGAAGAGAACACCTCAACTTGGACAACAGGCCCCAAGATTCAGTCGAGTAAACATCCACCGATGATAAAAGAGTTCTGTTGTACTCTGGTAAAAATGAGTTCAGTTTTATGCTAGTGGCCAATGAGTATACAGAGACCTACATATCACGAGCATCCTTTTCAAGATGCTCGTGAAGGAGTCTTAGAAGAACTGCAGAAGAGAACATCTTTACATTTGAACTTCGTTTATCAAGGTTCAGTTGGGACGAGTAAGCACCTGTCAGTATAGAAATTAGATTTCTATAGAGGCAAAAATGAACAAGTGATCGTTAGCTGGAGATCTATGTTGTTGCATTTAGAAAAGCTTCCATTTTAAATGGCCACATATGCATCTTGCAAGAACTGCAGAAGAGCACACATTTACAGGCGACGTTCCAAGGGTCAGACAAGACCGTCATGAGCATTTGGCAATCTGGGGCTACTGTCATGAGATTATTCAGGAATGATAGAAAGGCTGCCCATGATGGTTTCATGTGGAGTGCACAGAGTTAGTTGGGCTCACTAGGGATGAAGTAGAAGCTAAGGATTATTCTGTACAGAGATTGAAGAACCTCATCAAGGGCTTATTTTTCAAGATTTTATTTGTCAAAACCTAGTGGAAAACTACAGAGGAAGTAGACAAGCGAGCCGAGAGACAACATTAAAATTATGGGTCAAAACCACCACCTAGTCGATCAAGCTGGATACAGAGGTGATATAAAATACATGTACATGTATATACATGTGGCTATTCTAAGCTTCTGTTCTAACAAACCAACTATTAAACATTTGCAATACAAGTTCTGTATCACTATACATGTACAACTACTGCTGGCATAAAAGAGGGAGGGGGTGGGGGGGGGGGGGGGGGGGAGTAACATTTGTTAAAGAACTCTTCACTTAAAATTTTGTCTCAATGGTGCCAGGAAGCACACTATTAAAGGCAATATACATTGTATTGCAATTAAGAGATTTAATGGCAAACAAAAGTTTTTATTGTAATCAGATAATCTTTAAACTTGTGTAAATACAAGCATCTGAAATAAATTTATTGCAAACATCTCTAATGCATTTCAATCCCATCATACACATTTCTTTGAACCTTCTCTATAGAGTAAATCAGCACTTTGAACCCGACCCTTCAGGGTCTCTTTCCCCATTTATCCAAAACCCTCTCTCTCTCAATATTCTCATATAATTTTCAAAGTTACAAATAAATCTTTCCCCAAATGCTTCTAGACAACATTCCCCCTTTAAAGGTACTATGTCCCATTTGCAGGCCCAAAAAATGAAAAGGTTGAATTCCAACAGCATTTGAAAGACAATTAGTTATCGAATTGACTTGAGTTATTGCAATCACCTATGTAAATAGTCTGATTTTGTGCTGCACAAAGATTAAATCAGTTGAATTTGGGCCATAACAAGTAGTGGGTTATTGACGTAGACAAATGCTCATGCTCATTTTATGTATGTTATTACAAGTACCAAAGAAAAAAAGATGTCAGTCAGTTAGTTACTCGATAGTGTCTGACAGTGAAATCTAGAAAGTAAACGGGTTTCCTTGCATAATTTGAATACTGGAACACTGCTAATGTTTAAATTTTCCAGATAGGAAATACATGACATATTCATAATTCCTGCAAAGTTCTACAGAATTTGATGTTGGCAAAAGGGACATAGTATCTTTAATGCTGGACAAGGGGAATATTGCACATGAGGCACATGAAAGTCTGGAGAATGCATCAACATGCTATGTTGATAGTAATGATGTTGGTGGTTTTGATAATGCTGAAGATTGTCACCACACTGGTGATAATGGAGACTGTACAGGTAATGATGATGATAATGACTGAAAAGATGACTATGATGGTGATGAAGACGCCACCGTCACAACCAGCAAAAACAATAACAAAGTTTGAACACGGGATACAAAAGCAACATCTCTTCGCCTCAATTCAAGTTATATAAAAGGGTAAAGACCTTGTGTTCACATACCTGTACATGTAATTTTTTAAATGGTCAAGTGAAGTGTACACCTACACATATATTCTTGAAATGATAGACACAGAAGGCTGTTGAATTTAAAGGAGAAAAATATGCCTTTATTCAAGATTAACAATCAGAGTATGGAATGACAAGAACAGAAGTTGACAAATTCATCATAAAAAGTGACATGGTTTAACTCCGCTGATCACAATAGGCCTACACATCTTAATCAGTATTTAGAATGTAATTGTTTTCTCTGCTACTTTTTTCTACGTTTTTTTTTCAAACAAACTTGTAGATGCAATTTTGAGAGTTATCTTTTGACTTGCAATGCCTTGTTAAATTGGGACATTGTTAAAAAGTTCATTAATCTGTAATTTTATCATATTTTCAGTAGTAGTGCAATGGTAGCTCTATAAAAGCAAACTAAGATGTACTACAGTGTATTACGAATGAAGCAAAAATGGTACTGCCAATTTGGGGGATGATCCTTCTTTCTTTACAAACACTACCTTAAAGAGAAGGTTGAGTTCTGGGAAGAGGTAAAAAGATAATTTGTGAGCGTTATCATTGTTATTATGCAAGGGTGGAAGAACATCAGATTAATCATGTTCCCTGAAAAGCATGGCTCTTCAAATGCCTTCATATTCTAAATATGACATGAACATCGTAAAAATCGGGGGGGGGGGGGGGGGGGTAGGTTTTTTCGCCACGTGCTTGTGTAGTCCCATATACATCATTCTTTGTACAGTGCTTGTAACTTTGCCCAGATTTGGCCACATTTCTTATCATTTTGATGATTCCAGAACCTTGCAATACACATGAATACTTATATAATAGATGATCAACCTTTTCTGATAGATTCTACACCGTTTCTTTCACAATGCAATCACATGACCAAAACTCAACTTTATCTTAAAAGCAATGCATATATGTATGCTGAAACAGGCAAAAAATACAAAAAACATATTACAGAAATTTTGACTTCCCACATCAAAATATTTGCAACATAAACATACAAGACTGCTCGAGGTGAATTCAAATTCAAACTTATGAATCTATCTGCTGACACAAAACGTGCAATATTTTTTTCTTCTTCATGTTTATAATTACTCAACTACTGAAAAGCAACAAATTAAACAAAAAGTGTACCCATATGAAATGTTTTCCTAAAAAGAAACATATTGTATGTGTCAGAAATTTATGATATACCTAAAACAAAGTGGGCGTAGGTAATTCCCAACCTTCATTCAATACAAAGTGTACTGTACAAGTTGGTACACATTTTTTCTGTGTTTGAACAGTGTTACATCAATAACAATCCCCACCCTCCAAAAGCTGCATAAAATCATAACAATACCTTAATACTCATCCCAACCCTCTTATTATTTCTATTTTTCATGTGCGCCTCGGAATAGAATTGTCAAGAAAGACGGCGCTACTAAAATGCCTATTATTATTATTTATTTATTACTCCTAATAATGAAAACAACTTCAGACATTGTGTGAGTAAAGCAGGGATGGTTTGATCTAAGATGGCGCCCCTCCCTGACTGCGAGAGATCTGCTCCTTGAGAACCATGATGCTAGCTCTCTGCTCGGCGGGAAGGAGGTTGATCTGCTCCGGCGACAGCTGTAACACTTGCATGATCAGAGCAGCCTGCAAGTTAACACACAAGAAAGATGTTAGTACACTTAAAAACTAGAAACCTTTGCAATATTTCTTCAGCGGTCCTGATTTGTAAGAGTGCCCTGCTGCAAATAATGAAATACAACATTAAACTTCTTCTGAGTTTCTTGTCTCGTATGGCATTAACAATTCAAATACAATTTGAGGTTCATGAAAAATTTGAATTCACAGCAATAAATAGTTTGTAATGCTATTTACACTTGCATCTATCCAGAAAACATTGCGAGGTATCTCTTGCTACATTCCTTGTAAATAAATAGACCGACAAATATGTCCTAGCTGGGTCATTAACCAATAGCAAATTTCATTTTTATTCAACATATTTTTGCATTGGGTACTACAGAGGTATACAAGATGGAGGGGTGGGTGAGGGAAAAGCCCCTGAAAATTTTGAAATTACCCATATGTAAGCAATTCAGGCAGTGAGGTGGTTTACTTGGAGTTGTTTATTTTAATCTTCCTACCCAGATATAATTGGTAAAAAATTACATTGTCACTACAATAAAGTGTCAGAAATGTTCTGGCTTTTTTGCAAAGTTGGACAGCTAAAAGTTGATATTAAAAAAGCCCCCCCCCCCCCACCCCACCCCCTTTCCATGTTTCAATGGCTCTCAGATTCTTCAGATATTCTGAAATATTGTACAACTTGTACCTTTTCTTGATCTTGTTGTGTAGGCTGAGTCTGTGATAGGTTGATATTCTGGGCAAGCTGCGAAAGATTCTGGAAAAGGAAAAAAAATTACATGAGAATAAATGAATTGTTAATAAACATTAGTACTGTAGTTTACTAAGCTATGACATTGAGGCTATGTAAAAGCAATGAAAACGATCAGAAAAATCATCTCAGGACAAAAGATCACAACTTTATCATACCTCCTTTCCCTTTCCATTTGTCAAAACCTAGATTTTAACCCACGGCTTCAGTCATGGTTTAATGCTGATTGGATGAGAAAAGAATAATGTAACCTAATCATCAAACTCAGTAAGAGGTGAAATAAATTACAAAGTGTGAATTCATTTTAACGACCGATATATTGATTGTTAAGAAGGCAGTGTCAAAGTGATGATGCAGTATGATCTATAATTTAAAATAAAAGCCTCTGAAAAATTGGCATCCATTTAGAGGGCCACCTCATTTCCGACTTGCTTTCACTATCTTCTATCTGTGAGGTTTGTGCATACTAAATAACAGGAATATTCACCAATGTACATCAGAACATTTGACACAAGATATGACTTTGATTGGGCAGGTTCAACTTACGGTTGATGCTGTGATGGGTGACCTTTCTGCTGCTCTGGGGTCGGTCATGCGTGGGTCACCGGCTCCCATACCACCGGGCCTCATGCCCCCCATGCCATGAGGTTCACCCCTTTCAAAGCCCCCTCCTACCCCTCCTCCTCCTCCTGGCCCACCCGCTGCTCCTGGTCCTCTGGGGTCCTGTCTGCGGGGATCATGGACCATGCTGTCCGGAGGTCCACCGCCTCTTGGGCCTGGTCCCATACCGCCACGGTTCATTTGCATGTCTGAAGAACAAAATAAAGTGACAAGTCTCTTTTAAGCTCGAAACCAAATGTTACCCGTGTTATGACTATGGAAATTAAAGGGAATTCAGGAGTCATTGTGTTAAATGGGATCTGTGGACCTGGGGCAGTAATTTGAAAGCTCCCTCAACTTTTCAAGTCCTCAAGTAAATTGAGCGCTAATGGAACTCCAAATCGGTATTCTGAAAGCTCACATACATGTAGTGATCAATTAACTCCTGAATCATTAATATATAACAACAAAATATTCTTGTTTTTTTTTTCTTTTTGAGTGAGAAAAGTGTTTACTAGGATAAATACTTCTGAATTGTTTGAAGCCTCATAAATCCTCTCCACCATTGCTAGGTATGCAATGTACAGATTCCATGAGAATAGAGAAGCAATAACGCATCTGTAGCTTACCTTGATTCATCATGTTTGGGCTCATTCCAGGTCCTCCTGGTCCAGCTGGTCCTCCTCCTCCTTGACCCATGTTCATTCGGCCCTGGTCCATACCTCCATGTACCCTGCCCTGTGGACCCTGCTGTCCGGAACCCATACCCCTGTTCATGTCTGGACCTCCCCCTCGACCCATCTCATTCATACCCATCCCTGGCCCTCGACCTTGACCCATACCTCCCATGCCTGTATCTTGCTGGCCCATACCGCCCCGATTCATATCACCTGGCCCCATACCACCCCGATTCATATCACCTGGCCCCATGCCGCCCCTGCCCATATCCCCTGGGCCCATACCACCCCTGTTCATATCCCCTGGGCCCATGCCACTACGGTTCATGTCTCCAGGCCCCATTCCCCCACGGCCCATGTCCCCCGGGCCCATACCGCCACGATTCATATCGCTTTGGCCCATATTGCCC